TAAATTTAAAGATGTTTTATATAAATTCATTTTTATCAAATTTAGAATAATAGCAAATTTTATAAAAGGGTTTAGGAATAAAATTTATTTTTAATTCATAAATTGATTTTAGCAAAATGGGGAAAACGCATACCTTCTTAAATTTAAAAAGGGATTTTCAAACATCAAAACATTCCATGAATATTTTTATTTTTGATGAGAAAATTTAATATGAAAATATGAAATTTTAAAAAAAATGATTTAAATTAGATTTTTTCTGAAATTTAATTTGAAAATTTTCAAAAAGCAAATTAAAACATATTAACAATAATTTTTTTTTTTTTATTGTTAACAGAGTAATAATTAATAAAAAAATTAAATTTAAAAAATTAAAAAAGCATTTGTGCATAAAAACAAAAACTTTTATTCAATTATTAAATATATATTTAAGTATTGAACAAATTAATGAAACTTATGCAAACAAATAAATAATCTTTACTATGTAAGAATATACAATGATGTTTTGGTATTACCTATTAATAGAAATGACAAATTTTTAAAAAATATTTTTACAATTAAAATACAACCAGAAATTAATATTACCTTTAGATTTATATAAAAATTTAAAAGAATGTTATTTATTATGGAAGTATAAATGTAAATTCGAAAAAAGTTATTTATAAAATTTTTTTTTAATAAATTGAACAAATTTTTTATATTGAACAATTTTTTTTGAATTTTATGAAAATAAATTTGAAAAAAAAATAAAAAAAATTTTAATAATATTTAAAACAAAAATTAAACTTTGATATTTGTATTGAAAATAATTTATTAAAAAATTAAATGAAAAAAAAAATTTACCTAAATCCTATGTTTTTTAATTAAGTTAATTTATATATTTATATTATTTACAAGATAAAATAATTTTATAATAAATTTATACATAAAACAAAAAAATAATTTTAAGATTTTGATTTTATATATTCTTCAAAATAAAAATTATAACTTTTTTCCATTTGCATATTTTGTATCATTTAAAAAACAAAATAATTGTTATCAAATTCAAAAAAAAAACAAAAAAATTTTTTAATTTTAAAAACAATTAAAAAATGAGAAATGTGCAAGATTTTTAATTTATAATAAAAATAAAATGTTTTTATTTTATTTTTTAATTTAATTTAAATTAAATAAAGTGTGAAACATATTTAAAATAAAATTTATTTTTTAAGTTTAAAATAAAGAAATTTTATTGAAGGCTTTATCTTGAATTTAAATATAAGTTTAAATGAATTCATAAATCTGATAAAATATGAATATAAAAAAAAATAAAAGAGTTTTAATATATTAAATATGAAAAAAAAATTCTTCAAATTTTTTTTTATCATAGAAAATGAATAATTGAAAATTACTTTTTTTTTTAAATCTAAAAAAAACAAACTTTTGCAACATCTATTATAAATAATTCACTGAAAATGGGGACAATTTTTAATAAAAAAAAAAAAATTTTTCAGATGAAAAAATAATATATTTCTAGATTTTTCTTATAACAAAATTTAAACAACCATATACTTTTCCTATATTCAATATTTTCATAATTATAAATTTGCTTCAAATGAGTTGTTTAAACTAATTTTTTTTTTAAATATTGATGAACAAGAATTTTAGAAATTTTGATCACCAAATTGCATATAATATTCATATATTATTTTGAATAAAAAAGGAAAAATACAAAATCTAAAGTACTAATGAAATCAAAATGATAGAATCACAGATAGATATTTTAATAGTAAAATATTTTTTTAAATTTTATATATATGAATGTGTGTGTTTTGTGCATAATGTCAATTCAATAATTATTTGAACAATAATAAATTAATTTTAAATTATTTTCAAAAAAGTTTAACAATCAAAAGAAAACTCAAGAATTAAAAAAACAAAAACTTTATTTAATGATAAAATGAATAATTTAAAGATTCTGCATTTCAGGATAAATTTTCAAAAATGTTTTTATAAATTCAATGATATAATATTTGTTTGATTTCTTTATTGTATTTTTCCTAAAAAATAAGATATTTGTATATTCAAAAAAAAATTAAGATAAATTCAAAAAAAGTTTATTGTGAAAATTTTTTTTTTTGAGAAATCAATTTTTTAACCATTTCAGTCATTACTAAGAACTGGGTGTTTCTACTTTAGTAGACTTTCAAGAAGAATTTGATAAATTTCAAATAATATCTTGAAAAATTAATAACTATATTTAGAAATTCACTTTTCTGTATTTAAATTTTCATATTTCTGTGCATTTTCTAAATTGTAGCTTATTTGAAGAAATATTTTCATAGTTTTTGTTAAAATAATGCAATTTTTTAATTTAAAAAATCTAAGAAAAATCATTTCCTTTGTTGTTGTGTATGATTTTTAAATATCTTTTTAAATTGTGAAACATCCAAAAGCAGTAATCAACTTTTTCAAAACAAGTGTCTCAGATTTGTCTCCCTTTACAGAAAAACTTGTATTAACAAAGTAACAAGATTTTTATTTAGATGTGCCTTCATAGAAATTAGTAAATGATGCATAAATATTCCCACGATTAATATATCTATTCATTTAATTTCCAATAAGAGAATAGTGACTGACAAAGAGATAAATAATAATAATAACAACAACAAAATACATAATTTAAGAAAAATGTATTTTTCATTCATTCATTTTTGAATCAGAGTTATTTCCCCTATTTCATCATCTTTCACACGTGTTGCTTAAAATGAAACATGCGGTATGCATAAATTAAACTTTAATTATTAAAGTAATGAATATTGCATGATTTTCGAAAATACATAACTTAATACTTGTAAATTTTTTATCATATATCAGTAAACTATTGATTCAAAACTTATGGTCAGACTATTAAAAACTTATTTATAATCAAGTATTTTAAAATCTGAAAAATTCCCCATTCTAAAGTTTGCCTGTTTTCAATGATTTTATTGAAGAGATTATGTCACTGTATATGCATATGCCTTCATTGTTTAAAAGTTATTTTAGCATAAAGGAATAGTAATTTTAATTTTTGAACAAATTATATGTACTTTTAATGCTAAGTTGTATGTAAATGTAATTGTAAGAGTGTTTCTAATAAAACATCTGAGGGTGATACAGCTGAATTTTTAAACTGAATATTTTACTATAAATATTTGATCTAAGGGATTAATATTCACCATGTAATTAAGGTTGAGTAAAATAAATGTTTTTTCATCATTAGAATGAAATATTCCCTGAAAAAAAAATCTACATTGCTTAATATCAATTGAAAAACTAAAAACTGGACAACTTTGATGTGCTAACTATAGCAATTATTGCACATTAAACCAACACTATGTCAGATTTTATTATGCAAGTTGGTGTTTTTATGATTGGAAAATTAGAGCTGACCAGGCAATATAGTTAAAACTTTCATGATATATTTGTGTAAGTAATATATGAATTTCAGTTTATAATATCTATGATTTTTAAGAATACTGATATCGACTTCTTTGGTGAGATTTTATTATACAAACTAAGTGCAGTATAACTTTTTATTTATAACTAAATTACAACAATCTAGGCCATAGAAACATATTTGATGAACAAATGCTTCAGGTACCAGAATAAATTATTAATTTATTTTTTTACATGAAATAAAATAAATAGGGAACCTTATTCTATAACTAACCTTCATCATCTTAGAACCAGTGATTTTAGTAGCTTTTCTATTTTTTCAAATTTAACATTACTTGCTGTAATTTTCATTGTTCCCCAGAGATCATCTTTGCATGAATATCAGTTTTTATTATCACGTACATCTCTTAATGATGAATCACAAATTTTCTACAGGATTAATATCTAGACAAACTGGAAGCTATTTTTGTCTTTGAAACCTTTTCTTTTCTTTCAATGTGACAATAATCAATTTTGCAAAATATGAAATACAAGCTTAAAAGGCTCTCTATCAGTAATGAAATGTTGAGAATCCAAAATTTTGGGAGTGCAGGTCCATATCCAGCCTGGAATGTTTTAATTTGCTCATGGAGTCAGCCTGATTCCAAAATGGTGTGATATGTTGGGCTACAGCCTCTAGGAGTAAAATTGTAAAAGTTGACACACTGACATTCGCATTTATTATATAGATGATTGTGATCCATCAATATACTTTCTAATTTAAAGCTTTTTGATTATGAGCTGTACCGTTCAAAAAAACATCTTTTCAAAGAACTTACAATAGCTCTCTGCATTTATCTTGATGCCAACATCAACTTTAACAAGACCTATATTTTTATATCTTATAATACTAGCTCAAAACATTACTTCTATCCACCTGTTGTTTTCTAAGTCATATTGGTTGACTATTTCTATAAAGGCCCAAATTCTCACACAGTGTTCAGGTCCATACAAAGTATCCATTCATCACAAAAAATATACTGCTGAGAAATCACTTTTCATGAACTTCTTCATGCAATTTAGATGTTTCACTTTCTGATGTTTACTTAAAGTTGACAGTTTGATTGCTTTCATTTTTTTAGCCAATGTTCTTAATATTCTAGATCTTTTCTCTTTGCAACACCAGACTCTTTAAATATTTTTTTTATATAGATAGTGTTGACATAGAAATTAACTATGACTGGTGATTGTCAGTTTCACGCCTATAGCAATCATCAGACACATAGACTAGTGATTGTTTGAGGTGCGAAACTGAATATAAAGTGTTGATGTCTATGTATATGCTGTCTATATCTATAAATTATTGCAATTAATATTTGATCACAGAACAAAGCAAAATATCCTTCAAGGATGATGTCAAAAAACACTGAAATATTAAATAAATTAACATTTTAAACTTACAAAAGTATATACACTCAAAACCTTAGTTTTATTACCCACTTATTAAGCAACAGACATTTACTGATCTTTTTAAAAGTGTCGCCATCAAGTAGTTTGAAAAGCAAAGGTGTGAATTTTTTTTTTAAATAAATTAAAAAGCTCACCTGCAACCGAATAACAGCTTTCTTTTTCTTGACAAACCTAACACGGTCACGGATGCATCTATAATTGGTCTGCAAAACAATAACAGCTTTCCGCTGTTGGTGATACCCTAAAAGATAAAGAGCAAAGAAAAGTTGCATTAGATAAAAAGAATCATAATCAAATGAAAATAAAGTGCTGCACAAACCTGTCAGAAATCTAATTGCTGAGAATTAAAATGTTGCAAAAGGCTTCAAAAGTAAATACAAAATCCATTCACTTTTGATGAAGACTGCTGATGACAAAGTAACAATATTTACAAGAAAAGTTTTAAAAAAAGTTAATTTTTGTAAAATTGCAATTACTGAATCATTTCACTAAATATTATTTCCTGTGAAAAGAATAAAATGAAATTTAAGAAATCTAGTATTTTATACATTTTTGTGTATAAATAATTGCTTTTGCTTGTTTATTTAATTTCGAATTAAGATTTAATTTTTAAAAAAGCATGATGTTAAATTGTCAGAAGTTACAATAAAATGTTTTATAACAAATACTCATAGACAACATAAGTACAATAATAATCCCCAGATTTATTACAAAAATATGACAGTTATATTAATTATATAATTGCTTATATGAATCTCTGAGATTATTATATGAAATGATAAAGAATCTTTGTCATAAATCAGTGTAACATGTCAAGCAAATTTTAGGATTATTGTAAAAATGATTGTAGAGATTTTCTATTTCTCTATAGACAAAGATATTATGTAGAAATACTGGATTGTGGAAACAAGCAATGCTAACTATGAGTTTTCTAGCCCAAATTGAAATATTAAGAAAGAGTGAAAGAAACAACCCATGAGGAATATAAAGAAAAACTATATTTCATTGAAGTATTATTTACAAGTTGTCATATATACTGTTCATGATTGCATCAATTTTAAACAGGTTACCAGTCCTACAGAAAAACATTCCCATAGTATAATGCTGCTAGCACCATGCATGACTGTTGGAAAAGTGATCTTTGAGTTAAAAGATTCACCTCTTTTTTGACAAGCAAAAGTAATATCCCTCAATTTTTGTTTCATTTGACCAAAGAATTAATGATCAAAAGCTTGAACACTTGTCCAGATAATACTTAACAGAAGTTAGAGATTTTTTGTACCTAGTTTTTGGAGTTTTCATGGAGGCCAGATTTATGTGAAGTTTACCAGAGTCTGCTGAGATATTTCTAGAGTCATTCAAACTGGTCAAAATGCCTTTAGTAGCAATCCTTGGATTGTTCTTGAATTTCTTAAATATTTTTAACTGTTAAAAGTGGCATTGCTTGGATTAGCTTTGCAGTTTTTCCTCTCATTGTGGGCAATCACACTCTATAATCCAAAATCATCACTAAATTCTTTAACCATAGTGATTGTTTTCCTTCTGATGATAAATGTTGAACATTGCAAATGTTCTATTTAACTCCAGTGCATGGTATTCACAATTGTACTTTGTTTACATTCATTTTAAAAGAAGTGAGGAACTCTCTAATATGAGGAAGAAAATTTAAATCACATCATGTATCATTCATTTCCCATCTGTAAGATATAGGTGTAAATAATTTTGAGTACATATATATATGCACAATTCATATGAAATATACTCTTGTGTGCCATTTCTTCATTTAATTTTTTTAATGAGAATTTGTTGATTCTCTGGTATCTAAAAATTTTAAATAGGAATCTGTGCTGATAATTTTACTGACATTGCCTGTGTATGAGATGCTTATGTTACTTTGAATCAATTGGTTTTATATTGCTTTCACTACAGGCTTCAATACATCTATAATGAATCATGGATAGAACATGTCAGCAGTATGTTTCAACCACTGCCAGACTAGCTAACAAATTTTATACATCTATGATATCATTTTTTTAATAATTTAAATTGGTTCCAAATTAATTTTATGTCCCTTCCATTATTTCTTCTACACATGTTTATGTAGACATTTACCTTTTTTCTTTTTGTTCTTTCTTTCTCTTAAATATGCACCATACTATAACAGTTACTACATCTGTGGTTGTAGTCCTAGTCTGTGAAATTTAGAAATTGAGCTGAATTTAAAACTTAACCTCCCAACACACAGGTTGAACCAATATAGGCATTATGACTAATCAATATTCATATTAAGAGTCTGGTTCAACCTTGTGACAATTATCATGACAACACAACTATTTCTCAGTTATTTCCATCTGAGTTAACAAAGTTTATAAACACAAACATGTGTCAAGTTTGGTGAAAATCTAACAGAATAGAAACTATATAAGACAATTTAGAAAATTTTATCTTTACTTCTTATATGTTCTGTGATTTTCCAGCAGTCAACAGAACAAAATATACATCAGCAAGATAAAACATGATCCACATTAAGTGTTGGAATGCTTGATTTTTACTTTAACTGCATCATTATAGAAATTAAATTTCAATATTTTTAATGGCCTATGCATTCCCCGTTATTTCAGTATTCATTTAGTAAGAAAAGGATGAAATTAAAAAAAACTTATTTCAGAATTCTTAGAATCTGGCCCATTTCAGAAAATCTTACCCAAAGATCCTACATAATTTCACTACATAGATGACTCCTTATTAATATATCAGCATATAACTAAATTACAAGAACTCATAAATAACCATAATCAAACCAAACTCAAGTCAAAATTTAAAGGAAAAAGAGAGGTTCCAGAAGTTTGTGCATATTTTTGTAGTTATTTTTAGGCACACAAAGGATTTATCAACCAATCAATTTGAGTTTACACAAAATGTGAGATGAGTTTTAAGATTACTTGATTTTGAATGTTTTGATCATCTTTTTGCCCAGATTTAATCAAAAGGAAATTGTGAATAGAAACAGTTTTTTGCCAAAACATTTCATTCACAGTTGCTGGTGATCCACTTTTTATCAAAATATAGCACAAGGATTGTATTGAAATGCTATATTTAAAAAAAGATCTTTCAAATAAAATATCTATTAAATTTTTCAAACTTTTAAAAATAAATTTTAAATAAATTCTTATATTTTATTGATAATAAAAACACTTTTTTTTTTTAATAAAAACACTTAAAATTTGAAGCATTGAAAATCTGCCTGAAAGAAGAAAAATACATAGAAAATACAATTAGATCCTTCACTATCCTAGATATTTCACATAAAATGTCAAAAGAAAAGCATAAAAAATCCACAAAATGAGAAAAAGAAAGAATAAACAACACAAAAACTAGGTACACTCTATTACTCCAAACTAATGAACATGAAAGAAATCTCAAAATGAAATATCAATCATTTAAAAATAGTTAAAAATTTAATTAATGCAAAACAGTGAGTTAATGTTTCCATCAAAAGCAGACATCTACAAAATATGTTAATAGAGTCCTCAAAATACATCTGCAAAGCATCCTGAGATTTAAAGAAAATAATATATGACCATAAAAGAAATTTAAACTTAAACTACACAATCAATGCACTTGTGTACTAATGATACTGTTTTAGTAAAAAGTGAATATAATTTACTGAGTATGTCTTTCCTTTTCACTATCATCCACAGGATTATAATATTTGACAAAATAACTGAGAAGATTGATGAGCTCCTCTCTGATCAGGCCTCAGCTAGCATTTATATTTGTGGTGACTTCAATATTCACCATAAGAAGTTGTTTGTCCACTCAATCAGAATTGATGAAGAAGGCAGATACTGTCATGACTTCTTTATAATCTTACCCAGCTAGCTGATAAGCCTGCTTATGTTCCTAACATAATGGGACATGATACAAACCTCCTCTTTCTCACATCTTGCTCCCCTTCGACTCTTCTGGCCATTCACTGATCACTGTTGAAAGTGATGCCAAACCAAAAGCATCCCCTCTTTTGATACGACAAAGCTGTTTGGGAGAGCTTCGGATCTTACATTGCGAAAGTTCTCCACTTTCAGCTTTCTTCAGAAATATAACTTCCAGAACAGTCTCCCTCATCTCTAAATGGACCTTTTCAGGGATGGATAATTTTACCCCAAAGAAAAAATACCAGAAGAAACAAAATAGCCAGTTTTGGTTCATGCCAGAATTTGCTGCAGCTATAGTCTATAATAACCATTACTACTATCACTATCACAGAGAAGGGTATATTGAAACTCTTACTGCATTACAAACTGCCCACAATCATTGCAAGAGAGTTTTCAAAAATAGAGTAGCTATATAGAATCAGTACAAGCCAAGGTTGAAGACTTGGTTCCTGTAAGTTTTAGAAAACCTCAAATAAAATTCTCAATAGAAACAAAGCATCAGTGCCAGCTATCATAAATGGCCCTGAAGACAAAGCTCTTTGCAAAGAAGCCTGCATCTAATTTTACATTAGCTGGTAAGGACCACTCCTACCTCACTTCCCACAGATCACAAAATTTGAAAGATCTCTATCATGTCACAAGCCATTTCCAGGTTTATCAAGAGCCTGGACTCTAAGAAGGCCACTGGTCTGGATAAAATTCCAGTGGTTGTTCTTAAGAATAGCAACCCAGAGGTTTTTCTAATCTTAGAAAAACTGTTTAACTGCTGTCTGAAGGAGGGATGTTCCCAAGTCTATGAAAGGTGTCAACTGTGAACTGTTTTAAGAATGTGGGTGAGCACTCATCCCTGTTGCAATATCAACCCATTAGCCTCCTTAGTGTCCTCAGTAAACTCTTTGAATCAACAAATGGTGTTGAATATCTCAACAAGAAAAACTTTCTGCATGATAATCATTATGGATTTCACTCTGCTAGCTCCAAAGCTCATGTCTTAACTGTCATTACTCAGTACGGTACTGGTCAATAAATTCATTTTAAGGACCATTGCCTTAGATATATCAAAGTCTTTTGACAAGTTGTGACATCATGGGTTGCTATATAAACCTCCAGCTATGGAATTTCTGGAATGGCTTCTCAATTATCATGTAGGTCCATGAAGGTCATTGTTAATGGCCAGTCATCAGAATCCCATAAGATCAATGCTAGCATTCCTTGGGGTTCTCTTCTTGGTCCTACCCTCTTTCTGCTCTCTACTAATGATCTGCCTAAGAACTATTACCTATGTGGATGATAAAACAGTATAAAAATTTGGATGACCAGAACCTGGTAGCTGATCT